AGGAATGTAAACTGGCTTAGAGCCTTTGCTTTTTGCTCTTTTTTAACGCGGTGAGCTGGCGTGACACTGGAGATGTGTACAAACAGAACTCTTCCACTTGCCAACCACAGGTCTCTCTTGAGAAAAAATGAGTTGGAGCTACCATAATGGCATTTTAGATAAGCAAAAACCCCTCAGGTTTGCCTCGTGTTTTGATGCCCCTCTAGTTGGTTTTCAGGTGTCCCTCTGCAGCTCTGAAAGCATGATTTCTTGCTTGTGTAAGCTGCAGTTTACAGGAATTATCTTGCTCCAACAGGTCTGTTTTAAAGAAATAGAGCTGACATTGAAAGAGTAGAGGAAATCTTGAGAGCTGCGGACTGATAAACAGGGTAAGTCTGCCCAGTTTGGCGTAAAGTGTCAGTCACTGAGAGGAGACAGGGTTCTCAGCGTTGCCCACCAGCTTGCGCTGGCCAAGCCACTGCCGAAAAACACAGCGTGGGTCTTACCAAACACACATGGCCCGAGGAAGCTTGTGCAGTCCTGATTCTTCACAAATGGTTGAGTCAGAGTCGTAGGTTTATAAATGGCCTTGTTTTCTGGGAGCGACAGGGGATTAGATGTGGAAAGGAGAAAGTACGGAAGAGGGAGAGAAGGCAAGAGAGGCAAGCTTCTGGAGCAAAGGGATGAAGAAAGCAGGCCGAGTGTCCCTGGCAGCCCTACAAGCTATGTCAGAATCCCTCTGCAATTTGCAGGCTCCTTACAGTCTCCTGTCACTGAACAATTTTAAATATTAACGCAAAGTCTGAAGAAATAACGATTTTTGTTAACTTCAAATTGGAGGAAAAAACACCTATTGCTTGTTGTTGCAATGTTTTCTCAAAGCTTTTGCAAAGGAGAAGGGAGAGTGGAAGACCAAAGACAGCGGCCTTGAAGAAAACAGGCTTTTTTCTGAGAGCTGGTGGCAGAAGAGGAAAATTCATAGAATCATAGAATCGTTAAGGTTGGAAAAGACCCTTCAGATCATCGAGTCCAACCGTTAACCTAACACTGCCAAGTCCACCACTAAACCATGTCCTCGAGCACCACGTCTACCCTTCTTTTAAATACCTCCAGGGATGGA